TCATAATTATATTGTATTGAGAGTATACACTTGTTGATAAACATTGGTCACATTATTAATATGGTATACCAATACCTTTAGAAGACGATTGAACTCATTTAAACCTCTGGTGTGGACCAAAATTTTGCAAGTAAAATGGCAGTCATAATTATATTGTATTGAGAGTATACACTAGTTGAAAATAAAAGTATGCGAGTGTTTTAAACAAATAGTAAGTGATATAACTTTTTAACAACTTTTTAAAGGACTGTAGTTATATTTAACAAGGTTATTTGCACAAAACCAACTATTTTTAACCAATTTGAGCATATGAATACTTTTTTAAGTAATTTGTTTAAACATTAGTCTCATTTAATAATGTAATAAATAGCATAGCGAAATAGTAAATAGTAAATATACATATAATTTATTATTCGATTGCACCTCTTGTACGAACAATGTTCACTCAGTTTAAATTGTGAAGTATGTTTTTATTAGGCATTTATTAAACTGCTTACTTTCATAAATTCTATATTTCTTTAGATACCTACCTATATTGGATATTAACGAATAATGAATTTGCTTTAAAATGTATTTTACCATGCATATCTTGCATATTCCTTGCTAATTTGAATATACTAAAATGTACTAAATGGTTCAACAATTATTTGTCTTTATATCCTTTCTTATGAAAATTGTACACATTTCAAATCTATGTATATTTATTTATTAAAATTAAGTTAAAAGTTTTAAAATTGCCCTAAATCCAGACTGAAAATGCTTCTAAAAAAATATTCAATCCCGGTCTAAAACCAGTAAAACCTAACCTTATTCACCACTCAGAATATATTACGATAATTTTTACTGGTGCAATTGACATATTTAAAATACTTGATAATTATGTTTGATGTCATGATTAGGACTTTGATGTTGTTATAATTAATTAATAATTTTACAAGGTTTCTACTTAATAGAGCAAAAAAAAAATTCATAAAAATGTAGTTTAAAAATTAAATTGCTTACACAAATGTGATATACATATTTTACCAACGTTGTGTAAATATTGTGTGACTTCCATGTGATGATCCATGCTACAGATGTTAAACCCTCCTATGGGCCTATCTTTTTTTTTTGCTTAAGCCATTGGAGCAATAGGTACAATTATTTAAAAAAAAAAGGAAAAATTGATTATACATTAATAATAATTAAATACATTTTTAATAAATTCAGTCAAAATTGTCTTGTTCTAGACTTCTAGAGTATACATATTTGCTCATATTTTTATGCGTATATGTTTGTGTTTAAAGCTTTTAAGTCTCTAGCCTATTCTTACCTCTCTTCTAGCCATAACCTTTAGTCTTTAGTAAATGAATAATTAATTTTCATAAAATTAATGTAACAACATCCAAGCCCTAGTTATTATAATTTAATATTAGATTGATCATATCTTAATGTTGTGAAAAGGTGATGTTCTTTCAAAATCTGTTTGATTTTATATGCATCATTCAACATTATGTTGAACGCGAGGTTTAATCATACAAGTTTTTGAAATCAATGTTGTCATTTTGCAGCGTTTAGAAATGATATACATATTTAATATTAAGTTGATTCAAACATAATATGAAAGTATAGGTATGTAAGTATGTAATTAGTCTTACCAAGGCTTGGAACTTTAAGCATTTGCATATTTGTTTAGAAAGTGCATATTGAAAATCTGATTCGATACAAATTTGATTCATAGTAAGTATACTATATTACAAATACAAAAATATTTGTTGCATAATTTTGAATATTTCGTGATTTTTTGTACAAATTCGCATATTTTAGGTATAAGAACATTAATTATATGCATATGATATCATAGCATTAACGTGAAAAATTTTTTTTTTTAGAAATTTATACTTTTATATTGTTTGACAAAATAAATTAATTCATCAACGGCTATTACTATTGCTCCCAAAAATAATATTATAATCTTTATATCTACTACTGAGAACTTTTAATAGTAATCGCTGACCGGGCCGTATTTATTTTTATTCAAATTTACCACTGGATTAATATTTTGTACCATGAGATAAAAAAATTGTATAATCGTAGGTAATTAAATACATAAGCGTGCGGTGTTAATTTTTTTTTTAAATTCTTCTAATTTTTTTTCAGACACCTACCTAATTTAAATTTTTTAATTTTGTATGTAAAATGTATTTTATTCAATAAATTGCATATTTTCCAAATTTTTACTGCATATTTTTAAGTTCCTAGCCTTGGTGATTATTTATTATTTAAATTTATAAAATATGAATAGGCACCTACATTAGTCAAAAATACAGATACAGGTACCTAACCTATTTGTATACATTTTAAATAATTGTATGCAGTATAATAACATTTATACAACAATTTGGTATAATTAGCTATTGCCTATTTGTCAACTGAATGATATTTATTTTTAATTTTATATTATTAATAATAAATATTATGTAAAATTATTGAGGACACAAACCCCTTCCATAGCATTGATTATAAATAACACAATATCCAATATACATTATACATATGTAGACGGTATATTATTATCTAATGCCTTGTTTTTTTTTTTTTTTATTATCAATAGAATCATGTGGCTTGACCTATGTAATATAAAATTAAATTAAGATAACAAATACACGTTTTATTACTAGTAAATTGGTAGTTAGATAGCGTACAGATTATAAAGGTTGTAGGTACAACAATGCATCGGCGTAAAACAGAAGCACAAAGTATATTATTATTATTATTCATTGATGGCATTTTTACAAATTAAATACAAAATTCGAATGTAAATAGCTTCTTTAATTATCAACCAATAATTATGAATGATACATCAAAATTCATTAAAAAAAAAATCCTGTAGGAATCATATTTCAAAAATATAGATTCCCATTTGAATTTTAAAAGTTACCCCTAAAATCTCCCCTTTTTAACTAATAAAAAAAAAAATTAATATCATATTAGTTTTGAGTATGTGATTCAAATAAGTTTTCACATAGGTCATTTTTTCCTAATTTGAGTAGATCATGCTGAAATCTGCTGTCACATGAAATTTGGAACACCCTGTATATTTAACAGTTTCTATAAATATATTCGTATTTGTTATTTTTCAACAGGCTATAAAATATTATAACTTATAATAGTACCTAATAAAATATATTGTTGTTCTATTTAAAAAGACTGTAATTTTCGGAGGGGGGGCTGCAGCCCACTGTGCCCACCCCTTATATACGCCACTGATTGATATCATCACATTGATGCATAATCATATTCCGCATGATCCTAAGCTCAACTGCACTGAGCAAATTTTTAGGTGATATTATTTGCCTCCCTAGTGCTACTAACCACAGTAATGCAGTCTTATGAAAAAAACTTATTAAACAATGATGTGGTTGCATGATGGTATATATTAAACATTTAGCTAAATTTCAAGTATCTACGGTTAATTGTTTTTGACTAATAAAATAAAATCAATTTCGTCAAAAACTGGTTTTGCATAATAATTCTTATTTTCCTGTTCATTTTGGAATGTGCTATTTTACTTTTGATCCCCTAAGTAACTGAATCCAATTTTCTAACAAAAACAAAGTTGAAAATGAAACAATAGAGTATAGACACAAAAATAAAAAAATGCACATCAATACATCATTGTTCCACTCAGAATCTAAAACAAAACAGAACAAAACATTGATAGTTATGAGCAGAACATGTATTTAATTAACAAAGCTAAGCTGGAGGAATAATAGAACGAGAAAATCTCAGAATTTCAACAATAAATGTCATCAATAATAAAATTTATATTTTGTTTAACATATTTTTATAATGATACATTTCTGAAGTTGAACATTATGTATTGCTATGTTACACCAGCTCACAGTCCTGGAAGTTGTCAACAATAAATTCTCCATTGCCTCCCTCCCTTCCACATTTATCATTGTAAATAAATAAAAACATTCAATGCGTAATCATAGTTTATATTAAGTTTTCATTCTTAAACAAATGTCATCAGAATAGTACAGATGTGGTAGTTGTGTATAATTTAAAATAGGTAGTATGTATTAGATCACAAGCTTGCATAGTCACATCTAATATATCATTATCATAAAGATCCTTAAACCTATTATAATATTATTATTGATGTAGACATCTTTAATTGTTTTTTCTTTTTTTTTGATTAATGATCACTTATAGTAATTATTGAATATACATATATAAATATATTATACTTATATATTTTTTTTAATAGTTTTAAACAGCACAATAAATAATATATAATAATAATAATAGTAATAATAATACTCATATAAATAAATAAATATATATGTGTATGTGTATAGATATATATTATACACAATTGCGCGCACACATTTATAATTTTTTTTTTTTTTTAAACAGAATTCATCCAATCTACAAAAATCATAATACATATTTTATAATATGTGTGTATAAATTAAAAATATATTGTTATGTAACTCCCACATGTTTTTATTTAGAAATTGTATATAAAAAAATAATGGAAAAATAAATCATTTCATGTTTTAGTATAATATAAAACTTAAAATTTAAGCTAAAAATAATAATAATAATAATAATTATAGAAAATGCATAGAGATGTACGAGCAAAATGAACCAAAACAATTATATAAAAATTAACACATAAGTATACATAATATTTGGTACATGATTACTAGTAATAAATTAGCCTAGTGTAATAAATTGTTGATTAGGTAAAACAATTTATATCATTAATCAAAACCATAATATAGTATTTTATATAATATTATTTGACTAAGTATAAATGAAGGTAGTTTGTCAATACTTAAATGATTGAAATAAATATTTAAAATATTGCTAAAAAGGCTAAAATTGATATTTCATTGTTTAGTGTAATATAAGATTGGAAAAAAGCGCTAATGAGAAGTTTATTTTATTATTATTATTATTAAATAAGTAGGTAGTAATTTTAGAGAATGATGTTTTCACTAGTGCATTCAACTTGATTCCTTTTCCTTCTCCTTCTCTTTAGCTGAAAATTACAATTTAATTAATTATTATACATTTAATACATTTAATAATTATTATATGGGTGCTACTCAAAAATGTGTATTATTTGTCTTTCGTACATGTAATGTAAATAATATTGTGCTCTTTAGTCTCTCAAATAAGCATAGAATTATAATTAATTAACAACATTTAAATAGAGAATTTTTTTATATCGATTCAAACCATATAATCAATTATAATACTTAAATGTCAATAAAAGAAGGAAAATGGGAATGTCTCATGAATTTTAAAAATATAGATTAACAAAACATAATAAGACATTCAACTCATTTTAACGAAAATATATTTTTTATCCACTTTTAACTTATTTTAAAATAATAGTCATAATTTCATAACTAAAATATAATATAGATAGGTAGTGTCAATAGGTATTAATATATAATATCCTAAGTGAATTACAAATTATAATTATTTTTATTAAATAAAAACGTAATACACATTTTCATTTTAATAATTAAAAGCTACACCGATGAATGACAAGTTAGTATTATTGTTTCTTAAGTACATTTATAATGGTAAAAATAGTCTAAGGTAACTTAATACTTGTTTGGTTTAGTTATTCATATAAGTAATTATAGGAACCTACTTGTAGGACTTGTAGCTTCAGGAGTTGTAGTGCCATTAGCAGAAGAATCTTCTTCTTTCTTTTCCTTTTCTTTATCAGCATTCTTTGATTTTCCTTTGACGGGTGTAGCTGGCTTTGGTTTTGGTTCCAAGCTTGGGTCTAACACAATTTTTCCAATATTTTTTCTATCGTGCATTTTTTGCATAGCCTCGCCAACCTAAAATTAATTATAAACATTAATGATTAATGAACTAAATAGGTATTTTTTTTATACTATGCTTAAATGACTTAATATTGTAATATAGGTAAATACTAACGTCTTCAAAAGCCCAAGTGGAATCAATAACTGGTTTAACCTTTCCATCCTTCCATAATCCAATTACTTTGTCAAAAATGTTTGCCACATATTCAGATTGGTTTTGGTGGAACAATACTCGCCTTAAATTGAATCCCATAAGAGTTTTACTGTCATCAAACAATTTCAATGGAGAAATTTTATCCACTTGCCACCACTTCAAACATTAAAAAAAAAATTAAAAATAGTTAACCAAGAAATTATATTTATTTTTAGTATTAACTAGATATTAAAAACTTACAGATTTAGCAGCGCTAAAGAAACTCTTTGTTTCTCCTGTGACAATGTTGGATGAACCTAAAAGATTTTTTTTAATATTATAGAATGTTGACGAAACATTTAATAATTTTGCAAAACAGTAAAATATAAAACAAGAAAATTTATATTTACCAAACAAAATATATTTGCCCATAGGTTTCAAAAGAGAGTATCCACGGCTACATTCTTCACCACAAACGCAGTCCAAAAAGAGATCCACTCCTTCCGGAGAAACTCTAAAAAAATCAGTTACAAATTTTAGTAACATAAATTCAATAATCATCAAATTTTCTAAATTACTTTCTAACTTCAGCAGCATAATCACTACCACGTTCCAAAAGATGATCGATGGTTCCTTTTAAAGCTTCATGTTTAGTTTTTGATGCTACACCAAATACAGTGACATCTACAGTTTTGCAAAGTTGGGCAACTGCTTGACCCTGCAAATAAATTAATTTTATAATAAGTTATATATTTTGTATCATTACTTAAATGACTTAAATAACATTGTTTTTCTTGTCTATTTGTTGGGTTTAAGGTAATTTATAAATTGTTCTCTATGCACAATTAATTATGTTTATGTACATTAAAATATTAGAAGGTAGTAGGTACTAAATACTGATTTAATTTGATATTGGTAGACATTGATATTTTTAAAATGTTGTACTAAAAACAGAAATTGAGCTCAACTCTCCATGCATTTGTAATTAAGTTTCCCTTCAGTTCAATAAAATATAAGATGAACAATAAATAAAATTTAAATATTCAACTCATTAGTAAATGTAACATAATTGTATGAACTAAATATAAAACAACAAACATCTTACAAAATATAATTCTGTTGAAGCAACAATTAATACGAAAAATAAATAAGAGTTAAGAGTTATCATAATGGCTTTGTAAACATTTAAATTGTGAACTAAATATAATTGTAACGAATAACGATATTAAAAGCATATTAATTATATTGTGGGTATCAGAGGCGGAACTAAGAATTTTTACGCCCGGGGAAAATATTAAAATTAAGCCCAATCATAGACCAAGATTGAAAATACAATATCATTCCCTACAATTGTTTTATCATAACTGGAACTAAAATTACAAACATACTTATTAACTTTTAAACACATAATAATATATAATAATTAATATATTCTGCCTACTGCGGACTGTGGTGTAACCAAGTTTTTACTAATAAACTATCACACCAAAAGCACTTTAAATTTAAAAACTTAGTCAACATATTGTTGATACATTTTTAATTACTGGAAATACTGTATTGGTTACTTAATTGTATTTATTATTAGAAATAATAATAATATTAGTTATATATATAAATGTTGAAAAATATTCAAAACTTTAATTACCTACCTATACTGTATAAAAATTGTAAACACTTTTGCTGTTTTGATTCTATGCGCCTCAGGCCTCAGCCTTCAATTATAATAGATTTTTATGGTAAAATATAAAATCTTTTATTCTGATTAGGGTACACAATTTAGGCCAGTAAAAAATTGTATTTAATTAAACAATTTATAATAGAAAAAATGAAAAAGTAAATATTTAAAATCAAATCTTTTTTTTAAACATAAACAAATGTATATCTATCTTGGTAAATATTATAATACATAATATTATAAACTAGGTATAATATATTAACATCATTAACACTTTTCTTAAGTTTGGTTACACGTCTGTCTGTGATCAAATCTTGCGCGCTCGATTTGAGGCACTTTTTGAAGATGAAAAATTCTGAAAATTTGTATAGACCTTGGTCTTGGATGACAATACAATAATCCGTAAAAAAATTTAAAAAAAAAAAAAAAAAAAAAAAAAATTAAAAATTTTTTTTAACTAAAAAGTAGAAAATAAAAAATTAAAAAATTATTTTTTAAAAACACACTTCTCTAAAAAAACAAAAAAATAATGAAAAATTTAAAAGTGTGTGGCGCTCTTAAACTTGACATATTATACCACACACTTTTAAATTTTTCATTATTTTTTTTTAATATACAGATATAATATGCGTATCGTACGTTGATTGATAATTTTATAACAGTTATTGTGTAGGTATCAGCAATTTTAACGAAAACACAGCATCAATAAATGCCTAGGTATAGTTAATAGTTACATTTTCACTCAGAATCTTAATAATTATAGTATATTAGTTGTATATGCTTGCAGTAGGTATGCTAATGCCAGTATACCAGTATATACTTAGTATACTATTACGAATCTATTCATAATCTTACTTATATTAACTTTATTTTTTTTTTTTTCATTAATTCCAACGTCATCACTACAACATCATAAACAAATAATGAGAAATAAAAATGTTTTCTCAACTTCTATCACCAAGCATTAAATAAAGAACTAAAGAAAAATTACGCCCACTAAAATTTTACGCCCGGGGATCAATCCCCGGCTTCACCCCCCTAGTTCCGCCCCTGTGTGGGTTTATAACAATTTGATATTCGTTATCGATAAATCAATATCAGACATTACTACACTAGACAATTATTATATTATATGTTCTCATTGGTTATACTTATAGTTTGTACACACAAACATTATTAAGTTAGAATTTATTATAATTTATAAGCATTTTAATTATCATTATTATTTAATTCAATAAAAAAAATACTTTAATGTTTTCAGTGGATTTCAGCGCACTTCATCGCGTTTGTTTTTTTCTTTCTCCGGGCAAAGCGCAACATAGACACGACGAATTCACGCAAAATAATTTTATTTGTTATGTTTTCGAGTAATAGGTATATCACATATTACAAAAATTATGGAGAATAATATTTTTGAGGGTATGACATATCAATTTGTCTAAATATTGTCTCAAACAATTAAAAAATAATTTATATTTCCAATTTTTTTTATTTATTTAAAAGTCAAATACAAAGTTAAGAGTTAAATAGTAATTAAATATAAAATCGATGACTAATCTCAAAAATAGTATTTTCAGTTTTTTTTTTTTTTTAAATAGGTGATTTTACTTAAAGATTAATCAAATATCATTAAAATTGATTTTACGTGAAATCCTTTTATCCATGGGACCTCTTTATTAATGCTCAACATTGACAAACATAAACGTTTCAAAACTAACGACTAACGAGTACTGTATCCACAGTAATAACTAATAAATCTCATAATTGATTATGTATTCATAATCAATGGTCTCATGAATATCGTGAAAAGGGTATTTTTGTAATTTAATACAATATTTGAAAAAATTGTGTAATTAAAATTTATTTTTTATTTATTTATTAAAATATTATAATTGTACAGATGTAAGAAGCAGATTTTTATATTTTTCATAGCTGATGATAATATCTTTCCAGTTGTTTACCCTAAACAAGTGCAAACTTCAAACGCCTTTCACATTCTAGACTAATTTAGATACATTAACTATATAGTAAATATTATAAAATATATATTTAGTATGTTTAATTAAATTGTATAAATATGTAATCTGTATAATATTATCATAAAGATTCAATGATTCAAATCAATAAGCGTGTTTGTGTGAACTATCATGAACCGTACATGGGCACGAAATATAATTACCATAAATTATAATAATAAATATAACGGACAAACCTAAATGAAACATGATATTCATAGATCGTTCGAATTCTTCGCCTTAATTATTTTGTACGGCTTTTGACCAAAGGTTATGATAATAATTATTTACAACGTCATAAGATTTCTAATCTCTGAAATGTACGGTGGTTCTAGGAGAAAATCGCGGAAGAGAGAGCGTCCATAATCGATTGATCGCGGTGAAAAACAATTGACATTTATTATTCCTCCGCCGCGCTGAGTAAACACGCTCGCGTTTTCCAGTCGGTATTATTTTTGCACAGACACAAGTAGACTAGTTTCTTATCTCTCTTCTCGAAATAATGAAGTCGAATTATTACTCAATTCAATTATGCATAATAATATTGAATCGTGTATGACATTCCGACGGCGATTACTCGCATTTGTGACATTTCCAATAATTATTGTGTACACTTAATAATAATATATTCAAATGTGGCGTAGGATTAAGCATACCTAATTTTATAGTATTATTATAACTTTTAAGTATACTAGATTATAAAAATATAATCATATTCATTATTCATATACAATATAATATATATTAGGCATTATGGCAGGCCCTATTATTTGTAAAATTTCGGACTGCACATTTCATTTTATTCTCGCTACCATCTTAGCAAAAGGAATGTATTACATAATAAATATTACATATATATATATTATATACCATATGTATATAATAATTTAACAATGCAATTCAATAAAACAACAAAATACTTATCTTTTAATAAAAATCATAAAAATTAAATAGCATAATATAATAATAAAAACCTTAACTTAACTTTTTAATAATTAAAATCATAACAATGCATAGGTATTACTTTCTTGATTTTTCATCAAGTAAGTATGGTAATTGAAATGAAAAAAGTCTGAACTTTGAAAACTTCAAGAATTTGTGTTAAATAGGAAAATAATAAAAATGTAATTCAGTAATGATGAATAGGTGGGTAATTTAGCTAGCTTTAATATAAAATCTTAATAAGAGAGATTTGATATCACACCCAAGCGGTATACCCAATTTGAATCCATAAAAACATTGGCGTGAACAGTCCCAAAATTTCTATTTTTTTAACTTTTCTCCTAAACTATGATACCTAGCTAGAAAGTAGGTTGATAACTCATTAAAAAGGGATTATCAGGTAGACACTAAATGTGAAATTCAATTTTTTTTAAAAAATTATTTTATTTTTCACAGATAAAAAAAAAAATGAGTTATTTTCTCTAGATTTTCATTTAGCGAGGTAGATCTCCGAAACTGGAGAACGGATTTTGTTGTTTGGGGTCTTGTTAAATTCACATTTGCTAGGAGAATTGCAGTGAAGATTTTCAGAACTTTATCTCCAATCGTTAATTCATTACAAAGCTGTAAAGATGAAAAACATCAAAAAACGCCCAATAAAATTTGTTTTAATTTTTTTTAATGTTCTGTAGTGAATTAACTATTATCTATTAAAGATAAAGTTCTGCAAATCTTCACTGCACTTTTCCTAACCAATGTGAATCTAACAAGACCAAAATCAACGAATTCCGCTCTCCGGTTTCGGAGATCTATCTCACTAAATGAAAATGAAAATGATTTTTTGTGGGGCTGTTCACGCCGACATTTTTCTGGATTCATATTGTTATACCGCTTGGGTGTGATTAAATCAGTTAACAAATTTCTAAAAATTCAAAATGAAGAAAGTTTACATGCCGATCCCTGACTTGGCAATTTTTGTTTTGTAGACCGTAGTGCACACACGTTCAAATCGTAGTGCACACTTGTATATTCGTAGTGCACATTGTGTGTCGTGGTGCACATAAAAATAGGGCCTGTATTATAGATTTGTAATAGACTATGAATATGATGATGGTTATAAATTATAATATTAAATATAATATTGTTATGCACTGCAGTGGTGCAGTGTCTACTTGTGTTGTGTTGACGTTTTGGTTTTTCAAGTTTATAACGTGTTAGCTACGGTTTAGTTTTCGAATTCGAATGATCCCAAAATTGGCAATGATCAATAGTGAAAGGGAGCTAACGGGGGCTTAGCCTGCTAAAATAATTTCAACAACCCCCTCACCATAAAAAAAATGTCAACGTTTGTTGATTAGGTATTATTTTAGTTGGCAATATTGGAAAAATTATTATTTTATTTTAAATAAATATTATTTTAAAATATTTTATAAATTAGATTCTGTTTTTCTTCAGTGGAGATAACCCTAACCTATCATAGGTTACCTATTTACAAAAATAGGTATTTGATAATATTTATAAAAAAAGTTATTACATATAGGTATTGAATGCAAATTAATTTTAGGTGGAACTCAAGCTCCTCTTCAGTTTAAAGTTACTCCTATGTTTATGATGGTATAGGTATAAAGTTATATAAAATACCTATGGATTGTTATAAAAAAAATACATATTTAAACACTTAATTTCAACATTGTATACTGGCTAAACAGGACTTGATGGTGAGATCGGCGATTCGATCTCTGATATTACGTATGTAATAAAGTAATAAACTGTACTATTTAGAGTAGTTATGTTTAGTAAGTTGTACTATAGTCTATATTATAATTCGTTTACTGTCATTATTTTGTGTTATATTATACATGCACTTATGAAATACATAGTATTGTAAAGCCGGCTTAAAGCTTAAAACGAAGTAGGTAATTCATTTTTTTTTCATGAATGCAATGTGGGATCTCACTCCATCGTCACATTTATAATATATACTCCTATTGTATACAACCCTGATCCAAATCAAACATAATAGTGGTTGACGGTTGTGTATTGTCAAACTACCTGAAAGAAATTTTTTGTTGGAAAAATGTACAAAACCAATAACGAGCAAACAAATCTAAACTACGGGTACAATTGTACAAGTGTACAACAATATTTTAGTGGTAAACACGCACGTATAATGTGGAGTTTCCACTCCACTATTTCTCACAAATACGGACTGCAACTTCACACGTTTCCATGTTATGATATTGCCTCCGAGTCTGAGCCATTAGTCAAAAGTTAGGAGTTACTTATATCGGCGACTTGGTAATTTTTAAAAAAATAAAAAAGTTAAAAAACTCAATTGGGGTCCAGTGTTCACTTGGCTTAAAGTTGGTAAGTGCCTACATCGTTTCGTAACTTAAACATATACCTAACGCGGCTGCAGGTCAGGTTCTGACTTTGACTGCTTGGAGTCGCTCGGGCACGGTTACTACTCTATACATCATATTATTATATAACATAACATATAATTAAAATATACACTTACCACCCCGCCACCGGCCGAGTGAAGTATCAGGCTGCTGCCGGGCTTGACGGCGCCCAGCTCGAACAGCAACACGTAGGCAACGATGTAGTTGGTGGCCAAGGCCGCGGCGTCCACATAGTTCAGGCCATCCGGTATGGCAAACACGTTCTTGGCCGGCACGGACACGAGCTCGGACCACGCGCGCCACTCGGGCAACGCCACGACGCGATCGCCGACCTGCGGACAAAACACACAGGATTGTTATTAAAATATTTATTACATAATAAAAATAACAAATTTAAATACGAATCGTTGGTCTGACTGTAACATAATATAATGCCATAATATTATTGTATATTTGTATCGGTAATATTACATATAGGTAGGTGTTTCAGTATTTGAATAGATGAATTTCATATTAATTTATTAGTTTCTTATTCCATACTAGAAAAAAATACAACAAACCTGGTTATAATATCTATATCTATAATATGTATATGTTTATATATTATATATTTTATGGCCGATTTACTCAATTCGTCTCCAAAATATTCCGAACGACTTATATTCGTATTATAATATCGTATACATTATTATTATTATTATTATGGTAATCAATTTGCACGTGGGAGAACGACGTCTGTTTTTCAGTTTTTCATAATAACCAACGAGCAAACCGGTTGTCAGTTACGAACGATAAAAAAAAGTTACTATTTATAGTTTTTTACGAGCACTGGGGGCTAATAGTAATAATATTTAATAATGATAGGGGAGTGGACTGAAGATGTAATCCCACGGAGCGATTTTAATTTTGGAACGTATCATTACGGATCTATGTGTAGAACTCGATATGCACTCTTGAATTTGACACTTCAGCATTATAGTGAATAATATTATCGAAAATATTATAGTACGTCGATCAGTGATATTATATAATTTGATTAAATAGCCAATAGGTCATATTAATGTCGGAGACATTAATTGGATAATTTGATATGTTTATCAACTATCAAATAATATTATAATAATTACGATTATTATTACAAATAGGTCGGAATATTATGTAATTATATTTAGACAAATAAGATTATACCAATTTATTGTATTTGAAAATAATACAATTGTATAGAGAATTCTCTGTGTTTATACTTTTATAGTTTTATCCGATGACTTTCGTAATGTCTTAGTATAATTGCTTCGATAGTCAAAAAAAAAAAAACTTATTTAAAAATGCACTATTACCGAACATAATACTGATAAATATAATATTATGTTCTTACTCTATTATATTTGTTTAAAAATATGTTGATATCTGGTATTCGCCGGTTTTTTTTTTTACAAACAGTCATCTATAATGTTATTGCATTCAACATCATATTTATTTAATCAGAAAATAAACAAATTTTTTTTCGATAAAATGCAAGTTTTGTTTTGGTGGTATCTCTGATAGAAAAAGAATCCCGACGTACACGTATATTATCATTAACTCTCTTCAGTCCTCGTCACCGTCTTGTTAACGATCTGCATCTGGTGTAGGTAACGCATATTTGTGTTGTCACTATATCATAAGGGGTAAAAAAAAGTAATACACGTGTTGACGTGTTTAGTGGTTACTGAGATCGTGTACCACCACCACCAAACAGCTGCGATGCAACGTTATCGGTCCTTTTTTTCGTGGTTTATACCTCGGTCGAAAAAATAAATCATAGTGAATGCATAATAAATTAATAAACATATTTTGTCCCTACGATCGTCGTAACTTTTGACATTATTAGCGGTTAGCGTGTGGTACGAGGAAATACCACGAATAAAGTTTTAAAAAACTTAAATTCCGAGACAATACGTTGGCGACAACGACTATAACGTGGCGTACACGCACACGCGGGCGTAAAAAAAATGATCGAATTGGCTGTTTATCCACACCCCCCCCCCTTCCGCCACGAGCATAGACCACTACGATGAATAATGATCACCAAAGATGCCGGCCATTGAATAGGTGTTTGGTATGTGTATAGTGTATATATTACAGTATTCGATTATTAAATAATTAGACTCAATGAGGATCAATTATCGTCATTATTCACGTTTCACACGACATCGTAGCACATTCTTCGGTCTGTGGCCCGCACGTGTGAGAGCGCCCGCCGAGTGTCCACGTCTCCGTGACACTATAATATTATACGAATTATAGCGACGGCAGCAAACGGCAGCGCGTCTTCACTTCTCTCCCCAACACGTATAAAAAAAGAAACGGTCTATTAAATTTTTTTTCATACTTAATCATATTGACCACGACGACGACGTTTGCATACCACGAGGTTAGTAATCCGTATAGCTTCTCTATGCGGGTTATAGTTTAATTATTATATCGTCTGTATATACGCACCGCTGCAGTATTATAATAATATTATGTACACGCCGGACCCTTCTCTGTGACATTGAACAGAGTAATAATACGTCCCGTCACTTAAGAAAATAACCGTCGGCCCGTCGCCATTCCGGTCTAGATGATAACATTGTATTTGTATTATACCACAAATCTACCACAGACGATTCTATTGTGAGTAAAAGGAGTAAGGACGCCACGGCAGCCACACCTTCTTCACCTCTACACGCTTATTTTAACGGCACGTGGTTCGCACGAACGAATAGAAACTTGTCCCTTTCGACGGCTGTGTATATACACACACAGATACGAGATTAATGTCGAGCAACGCGTTTTACTAGACCTCGATGATGGAGGCTATGCGATGAGTGTGCACGATGCGTATAGGCAATTGAAATTTATCCCTGTCGATCGTAAATGGTATACGTTTCTAAATTCCTTTACGTATATAAATTTCTCAATCGTGTCTTTAACCCCAGACGAGGCGGCTGCATGGGTACCATGTAAACATATAATAATATTCTACACACCACTATATATACGAGAGATCGCGCCCGCAATGTTACACGCGAGCGCCGGATGCGAACCGACGCTTCGGCGGACGGAATAGTTTAAATTAAGCCGAGCTGTTAAACGCACACATGCTTTTTTCTCGTGTATCAAGTGACTCGTATGTACATAAGATATATCATTATTAATCTCCGTCAAATACTCGCGTGGGCAACGATACGCGAATATTATTTTCGTTTCGTTATTCATTTGTCTATTAAAAGAATTTGACACCGGGGAATCGCGTGTATAATATTATTATAACACATGAAGTGAAAATCAAGAGCGACCGGAAAATTGATACGCCTACGTTTCAAAACTCGATACTACCGACGGACACAATAATAATAATAATAACATCCTATATATAAGATGTCATATATCACACACGGTTGTTGGTCACGAATTCATATCACTGTAATTTATTATAATATGTAGAAGTCGTTTTCCGTATCGTGATATATATATATATAGGTATACAGCAGATATATCTCACCTTGAACTTCTCAACACCTTCTGCGACTTGCTCGATGATTCCGGAGCATTCGAAACCCAATATGAACGGAGCTTTAGGCAGAGACTCGATCACGCCTTGTCGGGCCATTAAATCTTGGAAATTCAAACCACTAGAAAAAAAAATCATCGGAATAATTAATAAAAATACATATTAAATAAGCAATTTCGTTACAACGGTTTTTTTTTCAAAGTAATAAATTATAGTAGTTAATAATTAATGTAAAATATGGCGAACCCCATGCAAGCGAGTCTTGCCGTCGTCATCAGAGTATCAGACTATAAATTTACGGCCATTTATTGATTGCGATAAAATGATGATATTAATATAATATGTATAGATAGTATTATACACAGTTATAATATAACCTGCGCCGAACAAGTATTTTTTTTTTAAATTGTTGGACAGAAAAACATGAACCCATCCTGAAATGGTTTTTGGTGTACTTTTATATGACTAACCGATTAGTCGATATCATTATAGTGAATATATTTTATATAAGTATACATTTATACTATACAATTTTACAATAAGTTGTACGGTTATCATTATCCATCTCATTTTAAAAATACAAGATTACCACGATAAAAAAAGTAGAAGTACAAACCATGGGGGGTAATAGTTAGGCGTGTAAATTGTAAGTACCTATACCAACTACCTATAATATTATATGTACTTATATTGATAAATGGATTCGATATCGATAACAATATAGGTAATATACAGGTGTCTTCTTCTTCAACATAAAACTGTTGATACGACACACGATACACTTTCATTTCAGCGTAAAAATCGCATTGTCGTTGTACACGACAAAATGGATTTTGTGTATTTTTTTCTTTCAATTTGTACAATCGAAAACGTAATCCACTTATCGTGTCGCCAACACCGGTGGACGGGCGGCGGCGCCACACACAATATACTACCTGTTATACCTATACGTATATTGTATATACCGCTATAATAGCGTGTATATGAGACACGGGAAACGAGGTGATTCAGAACGACAGTGTATAATCGAGTTTCAAAAGCATTTTCAGCCCGCCGTAGTGTCGGAGCGCCAAATCGAGGGGGCGGTTATGGCGCACACGGAAAACAAACGTTGCTATTATTGGCCGTCGCGCGCCCCAGTTGGCCCGATTTTTATTTTATTACGAGACACGATCTAGTACAATAATTATATCGTAATGTAAACGGAGCGCGACGGCGTCAGCAGCAGTGGCGACGACGAGGGCTGCAGTGGTGGCGACGAGGGTTGCAGTGGCGACGACGATGACGGCATCCGTCGCGTGACCGGCGGTAGTTAAATATAGTGTACAAGTGATATTATATATATCGTAGTCGGGTGGAATAACCCCTGGAGAGATGGCGGGGTGGCGGGGTGGCGGCAGTCATGAGTATACTACATATTAGGTATGTTATATGAGTATAATATATTATTATGTTTGGTGTGGTCGGTCGGTATGGGTAGTATAGTCGTCCTCGTGGTTTGTAAATTTTTGTAGAATTCGCGGGGTGTATCCACGCGCGTTCGTGTGACGGGGGCGGTGGCACGGGGGGTAGAAAAGGGGAGAAAAAAACCGTATTTGTCAGTGACGCCGACGTGTCTAGACGTGTTGTGCAGTCACGTAACGCGGTTGCCGCCAGCCGCCGGGCCGCCGCCGCGACACTGCACGTCACCCATTATATTATATTATATAGGTGTATTATTTGTAACGACCACGTAGTTTTTATAATATTTATATAATAATACTACTACAACTACGCACGACGATACGTTTTTATTATTATTAGGTACCTACGTTATAATATATAACGCACGTATGTGATGTATAATAGTACCTAATAACATAACCCGTAGAATTTTTAATAATAATAAAATAAATTAAGTCTAGCAATATGAATACGTCGTGCAGGCGGCGACGCTAGTTCGTTAAAACGAAGTGGGTCGTTGAAACGATAAATAAAAAATCGCCACACCGGTTTTAATTTTTATCCCTTTGGATTATTAATAATATTATTGTCCGACGACTACCCACTCGTAATAACGCAACCACTACTGCTGGCTAGAAGTAATTGAATGAGGTTCAGACTCTCGGAGAGTCAGTGTCGCACTTATTATCTGCCGGCGCACCGTGACATTTCGTATTGTGTTAGGCGTGTAGTTGAATAATAACGGTTTTTATATTGCGTCCCCGTGCAATGCTCGAAAGAGATTAGCTAAAAATGTCGGATGTGACGAGGTCGTTTTCATAATAATATAATAGTAATATAATACCTATACATTCCTATATTATATTCGCGCGGCGGGAACTTACTTTACTTCCACCTTTTGATGCGGTCATAAGGGTCGCGGAATAAAAGCCATGCCCTTGCTGGTTTGCACTCATGCGGGGAAAAACAAAATTGCTTGTATTTCGCCGCATGCGGGCAACGCATTGAGTGCAGAACAGCATGGTCAGTATATGAAACGCACGCACTCCCCGCCCTACCTAGGACATAGGGTCCAACGTTAATCCGGCGAGTACGTGCGATTTCTACTCTGACCGTGCTGTTCCAATTGCGTCCGATGCGTCGAAAAACAAAACAGCTTGTATTTCGCCGCATCGGACGCAATTGGAACAGCACGGTCAGAATAGAAACCGTACGCACTCGCCGGATTTACTTAAGACATGTAGTGACAATAATAGTGTTTCTCGATTACCCGTCGACGCTGCAGCCACCCCGTCAATCCGAGAAAATTAATAATATATACTGTTTCGGAGGTATGTCAATCGTCAAGTACTATATAGGTACAATTGGAAAACGGCGAAAATCAGTCGACCGTGCCGACTTATTCCCACTTTTTTTTGTATATAATGAAAATACGTATATATAGGTAGTTGCCTTCTAAATCGTGCCACTGTGCCAGAGTACGACGAATGCAGATTTCTCCTTGTCGACGGTTAACGACAATCGTACCGGAACAAACTTTTCTTTCCCAACCCTCCTCCCAACACCCATAGTTCTATATTTTATATCACTACTAGATGCACGAGTCACCGATTCACTCAACGATAAAAAATAAAGACTTATCATTATTTGGACACTCAAGTAAACAGATAAGGTCAAACCGTGTCGGTGGCAGTATTCATTGGCGGTTCGGAAACAAGGAAGCTACTTTTGTATTAATTACTTTTAGTTTTTACTGTGTAGTGTTAGTGTGCTATGATTTAATGCTATATAAGTAGATTTATGTGCTTATATTGGTTTATTATTATTTTATCCGCAATAATGTTGATTGTTGTTCAAAGGATCCAACCTCATTTTATTTTTTTTTCTACGTTAACAATATTATGTTTATTAGCTTTAATACTGATGTAGGTACAACTATAAACTATACAGTGAAAAAATGTTCATTGTGTTTATACACGTGGTGACATGACACAATATAAATCATCTGTTGGCAATCCAGGCATCATCAACCTAAATCATTATAATATTATATTATACTGTAGGTACCTACGTAAATAAAAAGAATTAGCTATTGAAATTCGTACTGGGGTCATAAACCTAATTATTTTCTATGATATAACTATATAAGATATAACGTTAATCATAAAAACATCCAGGATCCGTGTCTCCTATTTGAAATTTCTGAAAAGAACATTCCATGGCGTTAATGACAGTACGCATACATCGAGTGGACACGTTATTCCGCAAGTATGTAGACATGTAGTCATATGAAAATGCAATTGCAATATGCATATAAAGTTAAGTTCAGTGTTTGATTATAATCATTATATAGTATACAAAATACAACCAACAATCGACATTAATATTGTATAATCATACAAAAATTATTGTTTATTACATTCTATTAAATATTGTAATCAACTAAACGATTCAAATAGTATTATCTAATACGACATTGTGCTGTTGATGTATAATAAAGTATGGTAAATTTTGGGCCTCCACACGAACATGTTCAGTGGGGCCCATTATCTTCTTGAAGAATAAAAAAAAAAAATACATATACTAATAAGTTTCTTTGATGATTTCGGAAAGAAAATAGTATAATATTATAAAAAGTATTGCCAAAAACAATTTTTGTACAGCCAACGTAAAAATACGAGTAAAGATGGGAGGGTCGTACACATTTTATAAAAATCCAGGCCGGTGTGGTTCTTGAGTCGATTGGCCAAAATGCCAAATATGTTAAATGCAGTGTTCGCGACACTGCACCGGTAGCCGTAATATAAAAATGGATTTAACAAGTGATGCATGGGAGGGGGGTGTACAACATTTTGAAATGGTGGTTCCAAATTTGTACAAATTACCTAACAACTACTGGAGCTAAAATTTAAACATGCGGGTGCCAGCGTCACGACTCACGTACCTATAACAATTATTTATTTTTTTTATAACATAATATATAATATTGTTATAGTGTTATCGAAAATACGATGACACATCAGTTGTTCAGTTAACAAGCACTTCCAAATATTTAATCTATATAAAATTTATCTCGGTCAAGTGTCAAAATTACTATTATTATTTAGGTATAAGTTATCACAATTATCACCCATCGTTAAAATAACGATAGTCTTTCATCATATTATTATTTTTGTCATGTTTAATTTAAACATTTGAGTATACAATTGGTAACACATAACTGTTTTATTTTCTGAAATAAAAAATTGATTTGGAAGTTAATTTTTTTCTTATAACATTTAAAATTATAAATCGATATATATTAAAAATGTGGAACCACCAGTAATAAATAGACAAAATTAAATTTATTAGATTAAACATTTTTATTTGTAGAATGAATTTATGATAAACTATATGTATACTGTATTATTTGTTTTTAATTTAATTTTAATCCCACTTTATATTATAATCTAACGATCGAGATGAGTGCTCGGAATCTGACTATTGCATCACGTCCAGTTTTTTTATTGTTAAAATTAAAAAAAATTCTTTTTAAAATGAATATTTACTATATGATAATATATGAACTGTAAATTGTAATTTATTGTAATTGATAAACGGTAAAAAAAAATAGCGACACACGGCTACAACAAGCACTTTTAAGGTATTCTGTAGCCCTGTGCATAATACGCTGGTATA